CGCAAGTTCCACGTCAGCTACCACCACGCAAAACACATGATAAGTAGGTGGGCTTCCCAGGTCGCGTAATTAGAACGTTTTTGTCGCGGTAGGCCTATGGGAATGCCAGGACGGTCGGTCCCTGCTCATGAAGAAGACCGCAGGCGACTTCTCGCCCTCAACCACCTTTTTGTCCCACGCAAAATCAAGCCGCTCAGACAAGTAGGGGGGCTCATGATGCGCTCCAGAGTTCCGAAGACGATCCGAGGAGCTTCTCGTTGTTATTTGGCCCGGCTTTCCTGCGCCTCTAGTGGTCCACAGTCGTTCGCTCGCGCCACTGGAGGCCACTGGGCTCTTGGAAGCCCCCGGAGGCCAGTGGAGGCCGCGGGGGGCCACTGGAGGAGACACTGGAGGCCGTTCGAGGCTTGCGGGGGCCCGCCGGTGTCCGATGGTAGCCACTGGAGGAGCCACTGCGGCCATTCGGGTGATTACGAAAGGCTCCCAGGAGCGTTCTTCAGAACCAGCGGGGCGAATCGGACGCACCCATATCGAGGATGGGCGCCCCCCTGTCCGACCGGTGTTTTTTGAAAATAACGTCCGTCAGCATAGGGCGCGCAATGGTCGCCAACATGTCGCCCCAGTCGCACATGGCGACGCGGGTCTCCCCAATAGGGCGGTCGCCTCGCAGATTGTCGCTCCCGCGCGTCGAAGACCTGGCTGCCAGAGCGGCCAGCGGCAGTCCGAGGGGGCAGCCCGCCGCGAGCGCGCGCCCCCCCCCCCCCCCGATAGGCCCCCCCCCCAAGAAGCAAAGCTGACCGGGACGAGCGGCGGCGAGGGGTCTGGATTCAGCATTGCATCCGTGGGGAGGGGGGGCGATGCATGGCGCATGGGCGTCGCCCGAATGATGACGATGATGATGGTGATGATGAGTATGGTGTTGATGGTGATGATGATGATGGTTTTGACGTTGATGATGATGATGATGATCCAGATGATGGTGATGATGATGATGTTGATGATGGTGATGATGATTTTGATGTTGGTGATGATGATGATGATGATGATGATGATGATGATGATGATGATGATGATGATGATGATGATGATGGTTGTCTCACGATGATACTGGATATGCTGGTGATGTTGATGATTACCATGCTGCTCATGGTGATGCGGATTAGGACGATAATGATGAGCAGCATCATCATCATGAGCACCACCACCACCATGAACATTGTCGTTATTTTCCACAACGCCGGTATGTCCCTGCGTTGAGTCCCGAATTTCTTGTTCATGCGAAAACCCCACGAAACTGGGGGGGGCTCTACAGGGCCACCGCGAGGGTGCGAAGTTAGTCGCGCTTGGCCCCGAGAGGGCCCAAAGAGGCACCCCAGAGAGCCCCGAGAGGCCCCCAAGAGAGCCCCAAGACGGCCAAAGGCTTCCAAGACGCCCCAAGACGGTCCAAACGGGCCCCAAGACTGCCCAAGAGGGTCCAAAACTGTCCAAAAGGGCCCCAAAACGACCCCCCCAGAGCCACAGAGACGTCAAGTAACACCGTGGCTCCCAGCAGCGAGCGGCGACGTAACAAGCTCTGAGCACCAAGGAAGGCCCCCCAGAGCGCGGAGACGTACAAAGCTCTTAACAGCAAAGCTCCCAAGAGCCAGCGGCAACGTAAAAGTATCTGACCACCAGGGCTCCCAACAGAGAGCGGTAACGTAACAAACTCTTAACACCAAGGTCCTCAAGAGCGAAGGGTGGCATGAGCCATCTCGCGCACCTTCCTGAAGCGCTCGATCCGTTCCCGTGCTGGCCCAGGAAACGGAAAGAGCGAGGTACGAGTGATGACGTTCTGGTGTGGGCGAAGCCCTAAAGGGAGGGGTTCCAGGGGAGGGGATAGCGTGCGCATTTGAGTGTTAATGGCCGTTTTCGGGTTTTCCCTCGGGTTTTTGCATGTTTTTCGGGTTCCCCCCCAAGACGGCCCAAGAGCGCTCCAAGAGAGCCCAAGACCGCCCAAGACGGCCCAAGAGGCCCCCAGGAGGCCCCAAAGAGGCGCCCAAGGGGCGTCCCAAGAGGGCCCCAAGAGGCCGAAATCATAGATTTTCCAGAGGGAAACGTATATTTTTAGCATATGCGCTTTGTCGGCTTTCACGGCGTTGACGACGGCCCAAGAGGCCCCCAAGACCGCCCCAAGACGGCCCAAGAGGCTCCAAAGAGGCTCTCAAAACGGCCCAAGAGGGCCCCAAGACGGCCCAAGAGGCGCTCAAGACGGCCCAAGAGGGCGCCAAGACGGCCCCAAGGGGGACCACGAACCGAAAAGTCTAGCCTTCCGCCCCAAGACGCTCCCAGGAGGCCCCCAGAGCCCCCCAAGAAGCCCCAAGAGGCCCCCAAGAGGCGTCCCAAGAGGCCACCGGGAGGCGAAAATCAGTGATTTCCTATGGGAAAAGGTACATTTTTAGCATACAAGGCTTTCCGGCTTTCACTGCGTTGAAGACGCTCCAAGAGGCCCCCAAGACCGCCCCAAGACGGCACAAGAGGCTCCCAAGAGGCCCCCAAAACGGCCCAAGAGGGCGCCAAGACGGCCTAAGAGGCGCCCAAGACGGCCCAAGAGGGCCCCAAGACGGCCCCAAGAGGGGGACCACGAACCGAAAAGTCTAGCCTTTCGCCCCAAGAAGCTCCCAGGAGGCCCCCAGAGCCCCCCAAGAAGCCCCAAGAGGCCCCCAAGAGTTTCCGAAGATGCCTCCAAAAGGGCCCGACAAGGGCCCCAATAGGACTCCCAAGAAGGCCCAGAGACGCCAAATAGAGAGCGATCGGTAACGCAAAAAGCTCTTCACACCAAGGCTCCCAAGAGCGAACGGTGACGTAAACAAGCTGATAAGGCCAAGGCTCCCAGCAGAGAGCGGTGACGTAACAAGTTCCTGACACCAAGGCCCAGCCAAGGCTCAGGAGCGGGCGGCAACGCAACAATCTCTGAACACCAAGGCTCCCAAGAGCGAGGGGTGACGTAACAAGCTCTCAACGCCAAGGCTCCCAGTACGAACGGTGGTGTGAGTAATTTCGGTTTCTGTTTCTGAAGCGCTCTTTCTGTTTCTGTGTTGGGCCAGGTCGAATGGTCGTCGGTCCATCCTGCCACCGTGCTTGGGTTCTGGGTCACAGGCCTCTAGGATTGTCGTTGGGCTGTCGCCGGAGGCCTCTTGGGAGGGGCCGTGTTGCGGCCTCTTGGGGGCCGTTTTGGAGTTTCTTGGGGCGTCTTCGAGGCTTCTTGGGGGTCTCTTGGGGCCTCTTTGGGGGCCTCTTGGGGCCTCCTGGGGGCCTGTTGGGAGACTCGGATTTTCGTTTCGTGTTCCCCCTATGGGGCCTTTCTTGGGTTGACTTTGGGCCGTCTTGGGCTGTCTGGGGTGCTTCTGTGGCCGTCTTGGAGCGTCGGGAGCTCGTAAAGCCGAGGAACGCCAAATCATTGAAACACCTGAAGATAATTAATGATTTGGGCCTCTCGGAGCCATTGGGACTCTCTTTCGGCGTCGTGGAGGCCTCCTGTGCCGTATTGGGTTCATCTGCGGCGTCTTGGTGTGATCGTTCGGCGACTCGGGGCCCTCTTGTGCCCGAAAAGTCACGCAAGAAATTGCGAGAAACCCCAGAGAACACGCGACAAGACCAAGAAGATGTAGCAACTTGGGCTCCGGGGCCCTTCGTGACTCCTGAGGACACACCCACTCCGTGCCCGGCGGCATTGTGGCGGATACGTGGGATAGAAGTTCCCTAGGTGGCTATGAGGGGCTGAAGGTCCAGGCTATAGGTGGGCCACGCCCATTTGGCGAAGTGATCGAGCCCACCCACGCCACTTAGGGCAATTGTAGCTCGGGTAGAGGCGAGGTTGGGTCAGCTATATGCCACCCTGGCATCCACTCAGCAACCCCCGCGATGATCTAGTTAGGCTCATGCGGACTTGCATCGACCCCCAGGTCGCCCACGCATCGCCGACGGGGGCCTGATAGCCCGCCCAGTCCAGGAACGTGAGATCTTGCGATCGGGGAGCTATCGCCGACCTAGAGTGGGGGCCCATGCCAAGAAACACCCTGCTTTCCTCCAGGGCGCCCTGGGTGTCTTGGGTTTCGATGGTCCTGCTGTGGAAAGCGTGAGGCTCCCACACCAGAACTCAATGGACGTCCTGGGGTCTCCGGGATGAGTTTCTTGTGGAAGGTTTCTTGTGGCCCGGCTCCTACTGTATCGCCGCCGATCTGTCGGCGAGGTATCGCCGATTCCAGGTCGATGCCCTTGGGAGCCAGGCCCCCCCCCCTCCCCGCCGCTGCCCCTCCAGAGCAAGCGCCCGCCACTTGCTTTGTGCATCGTGATGAAGGCCCCGTCGACGCAACGCTGGCCCTCTCCCTGGCGTTCTTCGTCTCCGTCCGGCCTCCTGGAGGCTTCTCGTCGCCAAGGCTCGATCCGCCTCAAAAAGCCCTCAGGCCTCCGAGATGGGGTCGGAGTAGGTGGGGTCGGAGGATCGCGCCGCATCGCCGATGCATCGGCGATGTGTCGCCGATGCGTCGGCGACGCATCGGCAACGTCGGATCGGCAGTGTCGGAGATGCGCCTCGATGCGGGGCCCGACTTCCTCCGCGCCATCGTCGCCGATACACAGCCGACGTCGCCGGCGCATCGCCACTGCATCGCTGATGCATGGCCGATGCATCGGCGATGCGACGCGATCCTGCGACCACATGTTCTCCGCCCCATCAAGGAGGTCTCTACAGTGGGGGCCCATGCCAAGAAACACCCTGCTTGCCTCCTGGATGTCTTTTGTGTTTCGTCCACAATCCGCCTGTAGGGGGACACGCCCGACCGAACACCACCTCCCTCATCCCGCCCCTCCCGCAGGAAAGCGGGAAGGAAGACGAGGCTGGAGGAGGGGAGGGGAGACGAAAGTGGTGGTGGCGTATATCCTTGGCGCCACGCACACCTTGTGGTGCGTCCAATGGGGGCCGCTCTTGAGGGAATTCTGAGCTCGAGGGGGGGGGGAGGGGCCAGGCACCTTCCGCGAGTTCATCGTGTACAACAACGATCAGGCGGCCTGGCGTTTTGGCAGCTCCGGGCGTGCGTTTCTTCACGCGCGCGTGCTCCATCTGCGTTGCGGTCTCTCCTCGCCGCCTCTTCATCCTCCTCCTCCCCTTCCTCCTCCTCCTCGTCCTCCTCCTCCTCCTCCTCCTCCTCCTCTCTCCTCGTCCTCTCCTCCTCCTCCTCCTCCTCCTCCTCCTCCTCCTCCTCCTCGTCCGTCTCCTCCTCTTTTTCCTCCTCCTCGCCGATGTGGCTCGTCCAGAGTGTTGGTGTGGGGCTCTTGGGATGCAGCTCCTGGGAGGTTCGACTCAAAAACGGTGCTGATAGATCCCTGGTCGAAGCCTGACCGGATCAGGCTTAGTCCCACTTTATCTGGCTTCACAGGGCTTGATCCGGCTCGGTTACGTTTAGTCTGGCTCGATCTGGGGTGTCATGTGGTATGATGTATTTGTAGCTGGTGCCTTTTAAGTGGGGGCTATAGCCTTTAATCGTCCTAGGAGTCACCTCCTGATGGGTTCATCGGAGGATCAGGCGTACTGTGAGAACAGAGATCCATGGCACCAGCAGTTGCAATTGCCGAGCAATGTTGATGCACACCTTCCTCGGCGGCGTCAGTATGCGTGCTGCGTTCGTACCAAGTGCTCTCCTCTTGTGTGCACAACTGCGTTAGTCTTCGTAGTTGACGCCAAGTCGTGCCGCAGGCTTACCCGGAGTACATCGTCATGTATCGCAGGAGATACATTGATCCGGCGCCTGATCCAAAGAAGGCGTGCATGCCCACTTCAGGAGAAGCACATGTTCGATGCAGGTTTGTAGGCGCATCGACAGAGAGAGAGAGAGAGACAACAAGTAGCCTGACGAAGGACCCTACCATATGCTGCTGCGAGTACCGCGAGGGAGAGGAGACGAAGGAGGGGGGCAGCAAAAAGGACTGCGGCGTGCATGAGGGGGAGAAAAGCTGACGCGGGCAAGCGGGGAGTCTTCTAGGTTTCGCCAAAGCCCCGTGCGCGGCCCGTGCCATGCGGACGCTCCCGTTGGGTCCTTCGGTGGAGCTCCCTCTGGGGCCCTGAACCTTGTGAGGGGTGTGCCAACATGAGGCGGCGGTGCAAAGCGGACGCCCCTGCTGGGGCCTTCGGTGGAGCTCCCTATGGGGGCCGCGACCCGTGTGAGGGGTGTGCCAACATGAGGCGGCGGTGCCAGGCGGACGCTCCCGCTGGGGCCTTCGGTGGAGCTCCTATGGGGCCACGACCCGTGTGAGGGGTGTGCCAATATGAGGCAGCGATGCCATGTGGACACTCCCTCTGGGGCCTTCGGCGGAGCTCCCTATGGGGCCACGACCCGTGTGAGGGGTGTGCCAACATGAGGCGGCGGTGTCAGGCGGACGCTCCCGCTGGGGCCTTCGGTGGAGCTCCTATGGGGCCAGTAACCGTGTGAGTGGTGTGCCAACATGGGGCAGCGGTGCCATGCGGACGCTCCCGCTGAGGCCTTCGGTGGAGCTCCTCATGAGGCGACGACCCGTGTGAGGTGGTTGCCAAACTGAGGCGGCGGTGGCATGCGGACGCTCCCGCTGGGGCCTTCGGCGGAGCTCCCTATGGGGCCACGACCCGTGTGAGGGGTGTGCCAACATGAGGCGGCGGTGCCAGGCGGACGCTCCCGCTGGGGCCTTCGGTGGAGCTCTCTATGGGGACACGAATCGTTTGAAGGGTGTGCCAACATGGGGCGGCGGTGCCAGGCGGACGCTCCCGCTGGGGCCTTCGGCGGAGCTCCCTATGGGGCCACGAACTGTTTGAGGGGTGTGCCAACATGGGGCGGCGGTGCCATGCGGACGCTCCCGCTGGGGCCTTCGGTGGAGCTCATTATGGTGCCCCGAACCGTGTGAGGGGTGAACCAACATAGGGCGGCGGTGCCATGCGGACGCTCCCGTTGGGGCCTTCGGTGGAGCACTCTATGGGGCCCCGAACCGTGTGAGGGGTGTGCCGGCATGGGGGAGGTGAGGTGACGCGGGGGGCTTTCTTTTCAAAACGAGGACCCAACACCACAGGATGGTTGGGAGAAAGAAGAGGGTATATATGAGTACGCAAATTGGTCAGTTGGCAAGCTACGTAATGGACGAGCCGCATGCGTGCGCAACCGTCGGGACGAGCTGCACGCGTGCCCAGTCTTTCCGTTCCCATTTCGATCGCATTGGCAAGAGGGTCCCAGGACGCCCCCAGTTCGAAGAAGAAGCAACGGCACAAACATCAACCTGTGGCGCGCCTCCAGGCCGCCCCGGGCGCCAGGGGAGGGGGTCCAGCACAGATCCAAGAAATCCGCGCACATCCAGGGGGGCCCAAAGTTTATTTCTATGCCGTTGAATTTTTTCTTCTGCAACATCTGCTATCGGTCTGCGCCCCCCTTCTTTCCGTTCCCATGTCGATCGCATTGGCAAGAAGGTCCCAGGACGCCCCTATTGGACTTTTTTGGGTAGTCTGGGAAGTGCAGGTTTAACTCGGGAATGTCCCTTTACAGGAGGAATGCTCGAGAATGGTTTAAAATATAGTCTGGGGACGATTTGTCATACCCTTTTTTATTATTTTTGCATTCGTTTGGGCTGTGTCTATCTTTCCTCCAAAGTCCGCCTGTAGGAGGACATGCCCGACCTAAGTGTCGGTCTCTGCCGCCCCCCCCCCCCCCCAAAGCCTGTGGAAGGGTCGCGCGCAGCAAACGATGGGCCTGCTGTCCACCACCACCACCATAAGTTAGAGGGGGGAAGGAGGTGGAGGAGGAGGAGGAGGAGGAGGAGGAGGAGGAAGAGGAGGAGGAAGAAGAGGAGGAGGAGGAGGAGGAGGAAGAGGACCCTCTCCCCCTCCAGCTTATGGTGTTGGTGGTGGTGGTGGACAACAGGCCCATCAGCAGACCCCGAGAGCACACCGGCGGGCTCCGGAGCCGCCGGGGGTCGGGGGCCTCGGGCCCTGCAGGGAGCACCGCAGCACCTCGCCACAGGTGGAGCGCTCGGGGGGGGGGCCTGAGCTCCCCCCTCGCTGCTCGTGGGAGCACCGCGGTGCCTTACAATCCTTTCTGCGCTCGAGGGGGGCCCGAGCTCCTCCTCGCTGCTCGTGCTGTGCTCTGCCTCCTCTGCTTCTGGTCGTGATGCGCTGCGTCGTTTCACCTCGCAGTCGTGATGCGCTCCGCGCTTCGCTGCGTGATGCGGCTTCGCACTTCCGACGGCTCGTTGAAGCACCGCGCCAAAGGCCGGCGCACGGCTTCTGTGCGGTACTGAAGGGACTTGAGCATTGAGCCCAACGGTTACTCCAGACCTCAGAGGAGGCGTCTGGACCCAAAGGAACAGATGCAGCATTTGGCGCAGGTCTCTGCCGTGTCGCAGGAAATTGCTCCCGTCATACCTCTATGCGTGGCTCTAGTTTGTGCTTCCACGGTCACAGGAGCGTAGCGATTTGGGGTCCTTGCTCTTTGTCACGGCTCCACTCTGCAACACGCGCATCGAGGATGTTGCCACGGGGCGCACACGTTCTGGCAGGGCCACAGGAAGTTTAACGAGCGTGGAGGCCAAGTTCACCGCGGGATCTCCACGGAGGCCTCAGGAGAGGCCCCCACGTCTCCTACCTTTGATGAGGCCCAAGAGGGGCCCCCAAGCGGCCGAAGCGTAGATCATCGCTCTTTCTCTGCCTTCTCCCGTTCCTACGTTCGTGTAGTTCGTTTCGTTTGTTATGCGGGGTACGTGTTTACGACGCCACCGCCAAATGAGGTCTTCGCTGGCGAGCGATTAGCATGCCAGACACTTGCCAAACGTCGATAGTTCACCGAGAGCACTTGGTCGTTCGCCAAATGCGTTGTCGCCAAAACAAAATTCCACATTTCAATCTCCAGCTGCCTCCAGCAGCAAGCGAGCCAGCGGAGCATTCTGAGTGGCAACTACTCGAGAAGGAAAGGGGGTCTGCTGGGGGCCTCTTGGGGCAGAAAGCTCGCATTCGTGGTCCTCGTTCCCATTATGGGCCCTTCCTGGGGACAGTTTCGGGCGCCTCTTGGGCCGTCTTGGAGCCCTCCTAGGCTGTCTTGGAGCTGTCTTTAGGACCGCTTGAACCGTCTTTGCGGGGGTCTTGGGGGCCTTTCTGGCCGTCTTGGAGCAACCTCCGGAGAATCAATGGTTTTTGCCGCTCGGGGCCCTTTTGGGGGCCTCTTGGGAGCCTCTTTTGGCGTTCTTGGGGCTTTCTGAGCCCTCTTTGGGCGGATGCCTCGACTTGTCGATTCGTGTTCACCCTCTTGTGTCTTTCTTGGGGTCCCTCTTGGGCAGGCTTGGGGGCCTCTGGGGCGGTCTGGGAGCCCTCTAGGGCTGTCTCGTGGCTATCGTAGGGACCTGTTGAACGTTTTCGGATGACTCTTGGGGGCCTCTTGGGTCGTCTTGGGACGTCGGAAGCTCGGAAAGGCGAGAACCCAACAAATACTGAAACACCTAAGACACTTAAATGAGTTGTGCCTATCGGGGCCCTCTTAGGAAGACTCTTGGGGCTTCCTTGGACGCCTCGACGGCCTCGAGGGCCGTCTTGAAGCCATCTTGGCCCATCTTGAGACCCAACGTGGCCAGTCGTGGAGCGATATTGGGCCGCCGTGGGGGGCGTCTCGGCCTCGGCAACGCGAATCTGCTGTATTCTGCTAGGGGGATACGGCCTCAGGGAGAGGGGGCGCCGCGCGCACCTCCATGCTACGAGAGGGGGGTGGCAGTCAAACAATGCTGCAAACGACCAGGCAGACCTTGGCATCCTTCCACTCCTCAACGTGCATAAGCACGGTGGCGGATGACGGGAAGCGCACTCACACTCGCAGAGCCGCACGATAGACGTTGTTTGTGACCCGGGAGGGGGGTACAGCAGAAACCCATGCCAAGAGACACCCTGCTTGCCTCCAGGTGCCCTGGGTTTCTCTCGGTTCGACGGTTCTGCTATGGGACGTGCGACGCTCCCACGCCAAAAATCGGTGCTACCCTCCGCCCGTTTCCCCCTTTTTGCCCCTCTATGGATACCCTCGTCGTTGCCGTTGGGTTCGCCTCGAAATTTTGGTCCGAGCACACCCTTTGAGAGATCCGGGGAGTAGCGGTATCGGTACCTCTGGGTCTCTCCAACATGGGAATGGTGACATCGTTGGCGTAAGTTTCGGATATTCGAAAATGGTGTTCTCTCCTGAGGCATCCCCGAACAAGCGGAATGTTGAAAGCTCGGTTAGAGGACCCTTCATACTCAACATGATTGTCTCGCCCGAGTCATCTTCAAAACATGAGATGTTAGAATCGCTCGCGAATTGTTCCGATCTTGGAACTGGAGTTCTCGCCTGAGACATCCTCAGACAAATGAGATGCTGACATAGCTGGTTTACGATATCTTTGTGGGCTCTCGGGGAGGACCCGCAAGATGGCCCAATACGCGAAATCAGTGAAAGCCGTGTTTTGTTTAGCACTTGTGTTCAAAAGTAAGCGGTGCGCTCGAGACGTCCTCACAACCATATGCATTCGGACAGGCGAAGTGATGGGACTTTCAATGGTTTTCGTTTACTTGCACTCAGAAGTGCATAAACGTGTTGCGCGAGACACTATCACACAAGCTGAGCCCAGAGGGCCTTCAAAAACATCAGAGTCTGATAGACATGTGGACGTTGATACTGATTTGGATGCTGATGCTGGTGGTGATGATGATGATTCCCAGGATGATGATGATGATGATGATGATGATGATGATGATGATGATGATGATGATGCTGATGATCCTGTTGATGACGA